AAAAAAAAAAAAAAAAAAAGAGTCTGTCCATACAGGTCCATGGCACCAGAAGAAAGGATAAAGAGTCCCTGCTTTAGTAGAAGAGACTAAGCAGTGACTTTGAATTTCGGAACTGCATTCAAATTGGAGTAATGTGTTAAAGGATGGAAAACCAAAGGTGGAATCATTTAGTATACACCCTCTCACTTTACCATGGAGGGAGCTCAGCTACGGAGAGGTTAAGGAACTTGCCCAAAGTCTCACTGCTATTTCATGATAAAACCAGGACAGAAAGTTCTCAGGCAAGCATGTAAAAACCCTGCACTCTCAGTAGGCACAGAAGATTCCATAGTTAGCAAGATGCCTCTGGCCCTCAACAAGCTTATTGGGGTGACCGCCAAGAAAACAAATTATGATGCAATATGAGAAGTACTGTAAAAGAAAAACGTGTATGGTATTATGGGACCTTGGAGACAGGGTGAGCAGTTGTATGAAAAAGAGAGGGTGGAAAACTTCAGAGAAGAGGCATCAATTAGCTGGCGTCTTGGAGCCTGAGTTGATGTTTGCTGGTGGTGGAGACGTCACTGCAGGGAGAGGAAATGGCATGATCAGTGGTACAGGTGTGTAAAACATTGACTAATTTTGGGGACAAGTTCTTGTTCTCACAGTCTAGAGAGGAATGCTGATGAAAGTTGGTATTTTGATGTTTGAGAGATTGTACACTAGACAGAAAAGTCTGGAACACCATTCTAAGGAGTGTGGACTTCAGTGTGGAGGAAATGAAGTGTCCCTGAAAGATTTTAAGTTAGGGAGTGAGAAGGCTAGATTATTGCTCTACGGGATTAACTCAGCTGCAGTGTGGAGGAACCCAGAAGGACACACAGACTGGAGACTGAAGGCCAGTTAGAAGGCTATGGATAGATCCACTTGTCTTTTCCATATACCTCAGAATATTTTTAGTACATAAAGCATGCAAACTGTAAGCAACATTAAGATCCATGTTGCCTTCCTTTGTAAAGGGTTCTGTTATTAGCCCAACAACCATATGGCAGTTCAGTTTTGTCCAAACAGTGCAATAATATAGATTATGACCTCAAATGCCGAATCTGTGTACTTTCAGAGTACTTCGTCAGGAAAATGAAGCACAGGAAGTGCTTCTCAAAGGCATCAGTTACTGATGTTCTGAAACCAGATAAGCCATGCTCAGGAAAAGACCACAAAGTGCATTTGTCAAATACTGTAAAGGGAACGGCAGTACAACAGTAAGTAGCTGTCTTTCGCCCTTTATCATTTTCCACCACGGGTCAGTTTCCATACGGTATTTACCCAGCTAACATCAAACACTTCTTGTTTTATAAATTAGAGGGGTTTTTTTGTCTGTTTTAAAATTACTTTTGAATTGAATAGTAATTATAATAATTATGGTATTTCATAATTTGCAAAGCATGCTAACACACATTTCTTTGATCCTGACAACTGTGAAGCAGTCTTATTATTACATTTTATAAGTGAGGAAGCAGCCACTGGGAGAAGGTAAGTGATTTGCATAAGGTTAACTAGCTAATGAATGGCATCAGCTAGGATTTAAAGCTTTGTTTCCATACTCCAGGCCTTTTCAACTCTGCGTCTTGTAGTCTGCATTCGCCAGCTAATGGTGACTTTATATAAGAGTACTTACTTGGGGCGCCTGGGTGGCTCAGTCAGTTAAGCGGCTGACTTCG